TCTCGTTGACCCTGTGATTACTGACATATCAGGAAGATGATCCCTTACTGAAACCTAAAGAAATGAGAATTAAACTAGTTCTTAATTGGCTTTTAATTAACTTGATAAACTTAACCAATAGTGCCAAGGGAGTTCCTTGCTTGCCTTCAACTTCGATACTCAAAGCTGGAGGATGTCAGATTGTGTCAGTATCCCAACCCAATATCATTTTTTTCATATCCAAAAGTGCTCTTACATAAAACCATATGGGTTTTTTCCCATCATCAAATCATCCAAAGTATTTTTTTCATCTATCAACCACCATCAATAAGTCATCCCAATGTTAATTCTAGGAAGTTTAACTCCCTGTGTGCAAACAAACCCTTTGCTAATTCCCCAAGTGTTTGGATCTGGACATAGTTAAATACAAATGAATAACATTTGTGGAGAAATGTTATTTTGGATGAAAAGCACAGAAAGTGCTGGAGAAACTTATTCATAGAGAACAGAGTTAACATTGAATCCAGTATGATTCTTCTTGAGAAGAAGATACCTGAAAAAGAGTGAGATTGATTCAAATTTTAACTCAGTTTCTCCAGCATTTGATATTTATTTCACATTTTCTGCATGCACAGTATTTTGCTTTAGTGTTATTTTTGCATTACAGTTACTCTTTGATCTGGCGTTTTGTGCATACTATGCATTAGAAATCACTGCGTAGTTTGGTTTATCTATCCTTTTTTTTTTAAGAATCTACAGCACCCCATTTTATTAGATCTGACTTAATACATAGCAGTACTGGTTTTCACATGTACGTTGATGACACCCAAGTTCTACGTCACCACCACTTCACTCAACTCCTCCACTGTTGCTAAATTATCACGTTGCTTATCCATCATGCAGTACTGGATAAGAAATGTCTTTTATTAAATATTGCAAATACTGAAGCATTATTTTCGGTCTCCATTCCGATCTCTGCTCCCTAGCTACCAACTTAAAAGTCTAGGGTTAAGCCAGTTTATTTACAACTTTTGTGTCACATTCAATTCCAAAATGAGCATCTGACTCAGTCATGCCACTACAAAGGCCATCTATTCTGTCTGTAACATTCCTCAACTTTTCCCATCTCAGCTCATCTGCCTTCCTTATCTCCAGACAAACCATTAAAATGCAATTCCTTGCTGGACTCCATCAAATTGATCTGTTTCCCGTGTTTTAACTCATATCCTGTTCCCGTCATCTGTGCTCTCTGATCTATATTAGCACCCAGTAAAGCAATGGCTTGACTTTAAAATTCTCATCCCGGTTTTCAAATACTTCCATGGTACTGTCCTTCCCTATCTGTGTTATCTCCTCCAACCCCATACACCTCTGAAATATTTGTCCTCCTCCCATTGTGGCCCTTTGTGCCTCCAAATTTTCAAAGCTGTCTGCTATTTGTGATACCCTTTCTCCACCACTCTGTGTTTCTACATTATTTTCCTCCTTTAAAACATGCACTAGAACCTACCTCTTTGGACAAGCTTTTGGTCATCTGATCTGATATCTTGCACTATGATTGGGAGTCAGATGTTGATTTGTAATGCTCCTCTGAATGCTTTATTAAAATGCATTACACATGGACACAAAATCATTCTGGCCACATGAAAGATACAATTATTGTAGTTTTCAAATGTATCCTGACAAAACCCAAATCTATCTCATAACCACCGTCAACAAGAAATTGTATTGTAATTAAGTTTTTACTTCATAATTAGATCCCAAAGGAATATCATTTAAATTAATTGCAAGTCTTACAGTGACATTGACTCCAAGGCTGTCAACGTATTTTACCTGTCATGGTTATCTCTCATAGATACAATTTAAAAGCAGACAGTGTACAAATTGCTGTCAGAATAGTGAATCATGATGAGTCAAATTCAGTTAACTTTGGTTGCAAGGAATTGTCAGCCATTCCCACTGGCAGAAAAGGAAATCCAATAAAAGGATGTCCATGATAAACCAAAGTTTTAGATTGGGGAATTCCAGATTAGCTGAACTGTGCACACTTGTTATGTGATCATACTAACCAAAGAAGAGTTAGGCCACACTAGATCACATAATCCTGGTTAAGCCTGCAGTGGTGGCTGCAGATCAGTCTTGCACACACTTTGAACAAGTGTGCACCATGAGCCATCTTTAAACAAATGAAATCAGACTGTTTTACTTTCTTTTACTGGATAATGTTTAAAAATTGAAACATGTAATGGTGGAAAGTGAGCAAGGACAGTGTAAATGCTACAGCCTGCACTACCGCGGATGGGACAAAAAATCTGCCAATTTTTGTGACAGGAAAGCTAAATAAGGCACATTGTTTTGCTAATTTCAATATGAGGTAGATAAAAATGCCTGAAAGACCTGCAGTATTTTTGAGACAAGGATCAAGAAAAAGTGGGCAAAAATGTATCAATGAAAAACATAAGATTACCACCCTGATCACATTGAAGAGTCTGATGAATGCTAGCCTCTTCAGCCTCACCTGTTCCACCAGTTGAAGCCACAAAGGCCATAGAGATATTCCAGATTTTGTACTGCAGCCCAAAAACACAGCAAACAGATTTGATTGCATTGATGACATGATGGGCACGTCCAAAGACATCATGCTAAGCAGAAAACAATTATGACGTTTATCTAGAGCTAACTCGACACTTTTTCAATTTTTTAACTTACAAGGTCAAGTTATTCCAAGGTGTGAACAAATTGAAAACTAAAGATATTTTTCGAATATTTAATTTCATTGTGTTTTCATTTGTTGTTCTTTTTTGACATAAAGCACATGTGTAAGCAAAAAAGGTAACACAGGGACTTCCTCAGTTATGTCAAAACACTGCATAGCATGAAACTATGGGTTGACCTCCTCCAAATCAGCTCATTAGTAGTTTTTCTGGTAGCAGCAGCTAAAGTCAAAGACAAAACCAATGACCTGGTATAACACTTAGTAGCTTCATGTATGGCACTTGTGGCAGTTACAACATTTAAAAGGCATCTGGATAGGTAAATGAATAGGAAGGATTTAGAGGCAAATGGGCCAAATGTTGGCAGATGGTACTAGATTAATGTAGAATATCTGGTTGACATGAATGAGTTGGACCAAAGGGTCTGTTTCTATGCTGTACCTCTATCTGACTCTATGGCTCTATAACCTGCCTTGCAAGGATGGTTCTCTTCAGACAGTAGCAAAGGTGAACATCTGAATGCACCTTGCTTGTTTCCTGCATGTCCTTTATTTTTCCCAAGTGGAAGGGTACTGATGATAACATTTTGGCTGACCCGAGTGGTCCAAAATTTTGCAAAGCTCTATATTGGTCATTTGGCCTTTGTCAGGGCGTGGAATGAGATTCAGTGGGGTAGATATCATCTTTATTCTCAGGCCAGTGATCTGGAAGAAAGTGGATTAATCGCCCTTTGTTGAAATTTCACAATATTGAGGACCAGTTTCAGTCCTTCCATGTAGCTTGCATAAACATGATGTTTTGAACTGTCCTTTCTATGCACTTAACAGGTAGCCTGTGCTGGAGGGTCAACAAAAATCAACACACCTGCAAATTAGAGTAAAATTCTGACTTCAACATCAAACAGCCAGTGATAGCAGCAAGATACTTTTATTACAACACTTCCCTCTCTCCACAGGGGAGTGTCATAACTGCTTCCACTATTCATTATGTCAAATACACTAGAGAAGTGTCACTGGTACCATTTGTTCTATTGGATCAAATAGTATATTTCAAAAAAAAAATGGTATGTGACAGAATATTAGAAGCGCTTGATTCTCTGCAGCACATTCCAGCTATCCTGGGGTAGAACAAGCCATCCACCATACACTTAACATAAGTGGTCGATTTCCTACAGACATTCCGAAAAAAAGGTCATGACATACCAGCAACCCATTTACACTATCCTTATTTGAGATCCATAGCAATAGATTTAATTGGACGAGATTCTGTGAACCATCCAGAATGATATTAATCCAAAAGTTTTAGAAAACATAAGGTTCATTTCCGAGTGGGGTGGAGTCCCTGCTGGCCTCACTCCAGCACAAACTATGCTGCATAAATGATGGCCATTAGAGGGTAGTAATAGCCTTTAACCATGTCTTCTCCAGTCTCAACCCTAACCCACAATTTAATGATTGTTGGTTGTTGAGACTTTAATTTTGAAATGCAACTATTGCCATGAACTTCGTAAATATAGCAAAAAGATAAGATAGGTTCACTAAAACAGTGAAAAGGGCTTGATCACTTCAGAAATCAGTATAATTCCAGAAACTCTCCAGCAAATAATATTAACTTTCAAAACTCAATACTGCCATAGAGCTGTCTTTCCAAAATGTCAAGCTGCCCTTACAGCTTGAAAGTATGACCAGAGGAGGAGATTATTATTTCAGCTATCAGCAAATAAAGCTGAATTTATTAACAATTTTCAGAAAATACTTGACAGCTTTCAAACAAAGACAATGTCTGTCTGAAAATGGTGTAGGATTTTTTTGCTCACCTTGTTAAAATATCCCTTTTCCATGAGCTGAAATCAACTTCAACTATTCTTATGCTGACAAATCCGAAAATTGTAGGTTTATAGTAGCTTAAGATCGAGACAAACTAATTTTGCAGATCATTACATTTTGCAAGAAAACCCAAACAAATCTCAGCAGATACTAATAAATGCACTTCAATCTAGTTGGCATTCTTCTTGTACTTCTCCATTCATTCCAAAGCAGTCACTGTAACATCAGTTTCATAATGGAAAAAGAACGCATAAGTTACAGCTGTAAATGGAAGTGAAAACTATCTGCAAAAGTTTTATCAGCAGCACAGAATATGCTTTGAATGTATTCTTAAACTGAAATTAGTCTGGCCTATTTCATAAACTTCAATTTAGACTAAGCAGTTCCTTAATCTACATGATTTTAATAAGCCAGAAGTTAACTGAACTCAGCTTGTGAAGCAAGTTTTCACAAAAGCTCAAAAGAAAAAGTTTGCACTTACAGGATGACAGTCTGCGGTGCTACCTTAGGGATATGATCCAGCATCAAGTGCATACAACGAACAGTGGTTTTGAAGCAAAGGCACCGGCTTGGGCAGCAGAAAATTGCAGGGAAGAGAAGAAAGAAAATAGTTAAAAAAAGGAAACATTTTTGTCCCATCCTGAGCGAGATCAGAGTAGAGGCTGTGCCTCGAGCTGCAGAATCTGAAATGAAACAGTGAGTGAAGTCTGGGCAAGTTTAAGGCAGTCTAAGCGTCCAATCAGACCACCACCAGGATCAAATTTCAGCACAGAACAGGGGAAAAAAAACTCCAGCAGCTTTATCCACAAAAATACTGCCAGAACTGTGGTACTGTAATTCTAATGATGTAAAGATACAAAATTACCAGTACTGTTTTTACATAAGAGCCTGAGGCATTTCGGGGAGGGACAAGAAAGGCTTCGCTTCAAAGATGGACCTATAAACCAATGTCCTTTATACATCTCAGAAATGAAGTAAAGCACAAAATCTTCCACTTTACAGGCAAGGCTAAGCATTGCTATTAAGCTGTAGATCAGAAATATTAACTTCTACTTAATCTCTTTTGCCTTTTCCCTCAAAAACTATGAAAACATTTTGGAAACTAAAACTGGACAAGGAAGGTTTTTATTTACAATTTAAAACACTAATCATGGAAAAAATTAAATAATAATAACCATTTATGCTAAATAATTTCTAAAGATCAACGCCAGCATGTTGATTCTGTAAAAAAAAACAAAGAACTGTGGATGCCGGAAACATGAAACAAAAAACAAACATTTCTGGAGAAACTCAGCAGATCTAACAGCATCTGTGGAGAGAAAGCGGAGTTAACATTTCAGGCTCATTGACCCTTCTTCAGAACCAATTGTAGCTAGGAAAAATTGGCATATATGCTGAAGAGGGGGAATGGGGAGGAGTGCGTCAGTGAGGGGTGGGGTGGTAGAAGGAGTCTGCGTTAGGTGGAGAAGGAGCCCAGAGAGAAAGAACAGCAACATCTCAGGTCTGCTGCAGTGCTCCAGCGAGGGTCAGTGCAAGCTGGAAGAACAACATCTCATTTTCCACTTGCGGACCCTGCAGCCTTCAGGAATCGATACGGAGTTCAATAATTTTAGAACCTGAACTCCTTCTTCCATGTCATGTACCCACCCCCATACTGCAGGCCCTGCTAATGGCATAGACAGCAAACCCACTTTCACCTACTAATGGTCCCTATTATCAGCTTTTCTTTCTCCCTGGCTCACCATTATCCATCCCTTTGCCTAACTGCTATTCTCTCTTTGTCTAGACTCTACCTCCAGCTATTGCATACTTCTCCTTTCTCCCTACAATTTATCAGCATATATACCACCTTTTCCTCGCTATTATCAGTTTATTAGAGATAAAATTGAATTTTCTTGATCTGCGTAACTCAGTAATCCCTGGGTGCTTTATTAATCCATTAAGCAATTGAACATGATTAATATTATTATTTTTGCACTTAAACTATATAGGAATGTACACATTTTACATTATCTTTAAGGAAACACTTTTTTTTTGCTTCCAATTGTATATCTTTTGTAATTTCAAATATTCGTAGGGATCAACCACAGATGTTGGTTATTGAGTCATAGAGATGTACAGCATGGAAACAGACGCTTCGGTCCAACTCGTCCATGCTGACTAGATGTCCTAAACAAATCTAGCCCCATTTGCCAGCATTTGACCTATATTCTTCTAAACCCTTCTTATTCAAATATCCATCCAGATACCTTTTAAATGTTGTAATTTTACCAGCCTCCTCTACTGCTTCTGGCAGCTCATTCCAAACATGTACAACCCTCTGTGTGAAAAAGTTGCCCCTTATGTCGCTTTTAAATCTTTCCACTCTCACCTTAAACCTACGCTCTCTAGTTTTGAAGTTCCCCTACCCCGAGAAAAGACCTTGCCTATTTACCCTACCCATTCCCCTCATGATTTATAAACCTCTATAAGGTCACCCTTCAGCTTCCAATGCTCCAGGGAAAATAGCCCCAGCCTATTCAGCCTCTCCCTCTAGCTCTAGCTCAAACCCTCCAACCCTGGCAACATCCTTGTAAATTTTTCTTGAACCCTTTCAATTTCACAACAACCTTCCTATAGCAGGGAGACCAGAATTGCATGCAGTATTCCAAAAGTGGCCTAAGCAATGTCCTGTACAGCCGCAACATTACCGCCTAACTCCTATACTCAATGTACTGACTGTCCCAACATTTTTTATTACCAAATAATAAAAGTGATCGGGTCCACAGCTATAATTGAGGGCTAAGTAAAAACCATTAAATTGCATAAAGATGAGTCTTAAGTTAGATGATAGGTTATAGTATAAAGAACAGAGAAAGACTAAAAGTTTAATCAGAAGGAAGAAATTAGAGTTTGAGAGGAAGCTAACTAGGAATGCAAAAAGAGACAGCAAGGTTTCTGCAATTATTTAAAAAGGAAAAGAGAAAGTAAAGCGAGCGTTGGCCCTACAGAGACTGAGAATGGAAATTAATAGTAGATGAACTGAAAAAATATTTTGCGTCTGTTTTACCAATAGAGGGTACAAAAAATTGTCCAGAAATAGCTATAATTCAGGAGGTGGAAGGAAGAGGTGAACTTGGCCAAATTATAGTCATGATGGAAGTGGTACTAAGCAGAGTGGTGGAATTACAGATTGACAAGTGTCTGGATCCAGGCGGAACTCTCCTAGAGCCTTAAAAGAGCTGGCTAATGAGCAAGTAGATGCATTGGTGTTAATTATCCAAAATTCCCTAGATTCAGGAAAGATTCCATCAGCTGAGAAGTAGCTAATACAAACCATCAATTCAAGGGAGAGAGGCAGCAAACAAGAAGCTATAAGTCACTTAGTTTGATGTCCGCTGTGGAGAAGGAATTAAAGAGGTTATAGCTGGGCATGTAGAAAATTCAGGATAATCAAGAAGAGTCAGCATAGCTTTATCAATGGGAAATCACATTTAACCAATCCATTGGACGTGCTGTAGATAAAGAAGAACTATAGGCATCTGAACTGTGATTTCCAGAAGGCTTCTGATAAGGTTATTACAAAAAATAAAAGCTCATATTATAGGATGTAAGAAGTTAGCACAAATATAAGATTGGCTGACAGTAAATTGAGTATACCTAAATGTGCCTGATTGACAGTGTGTAATGAGTAGAACCCTGCAAGACCTTCTGCTGCAACTCAACATTTTACAATGTTCATCGACAATGTAAGAGGGGAATGAAGGAAGGGTAGCTAAATTCACAGACAACACCAAGACAGGTAGGAAACAATGTTGTTAAGAGGATATAAGGAAGTTGCAGATGGATACACAGCGAGTGAGTGGGCAAGTCTGGCAGATAGAGTTAATGTGGGAAAACATGAAATTGTTCACTTTGACAGGAAGAAGCATAAAAAGCAGAGTGAAATACTTAAATGAAGAGCAACTGTGAAATTTGAAGCTGCAGAGGGATTTAGATGTTCTGGTGCATGAGTCACAAAAAGTTAGTATGCAGGTGCAACATTTAATCAAGAAGGTTAGTGGGATTCAGTCCTTTATTAATGAGAGGAATTGAACATCTTTGTAAGGACAGTATGCTTCAGTTATACAGATCATTGATGAGACCATATTTTGAATACTGTGTGCAGTTTTGCCTCTTTATGTACAGAGGAATCTCTGGAGACTGTAGGTCTAGGAGTTGAGATGGTTATTAGCGATCAATAATAAAGTTGTAAAGGAAATGCACATTTTTTATGTATTAAGATCAATAATCGACTCCTGCAGTTTGTTTTAAAAAGAACATTCTACATTGTGCAATCTAGACAGTGAGATTGCTAAATATGTATTTAGTTGTACTGAACAAAAATTATGCAGTTGTGTTCGCCCCAATGGAGTTTCTTTTCTAAAGGGTATTTGTACAATGTTATCAAAGTTTTTTGTTTGGGCTTAATGTCTGAGTGCAAAGTTTAGACTCTTGTTTTTGGTTTTCTTGTTTTCTTGACTGTGTCCAAACAGAAGCGCATAGATCAACTTCTCCTTTATTTTCATGACTAAAGTTAAAAGAGATATATGAAAAAGGTTTTCAGCTCATAGACACATATTCTGTTCTGGAATCAGACAGAGAGAAGAATTGTAAAAATTATCCATACAGGGGACTTACGTTTTAATTTTACTTTGATAATGGTTGTGATTTCCTTGTCAATGCATTATTTATATACAGTATTATTTATATACAGTAATGCAAATAAATCACCAGTATGTAAAAATTAGTGTCAAAAACTCATGATGAATTATAAGGAGTTAATATAGAATTGCACAGGTACGTTTCATTATTTATCATTTGACATTTGTTTTAGACATATGATCATAAGACCATAACACCATAAGACATAGGAGCAGAAATTAGGCCATTCAACCCACTGAGTCTGCTCTGCCATTCAATCATGGCTGATAAGTTCCTCAACCCCATTCTCCTGCTTTCTCCCCATAACCCTTGATCCCCTTGATAATCAAGAGCCTATCTATCTCAGTCTTAAATGTGCTCAATGACCTGGCCTCCACAGCCTTATGTGGCAGTGAATTTCATAGATTTAACACTCTCTGGTTGAAGAAGTTTCTCCTTATCTCTGTTCTGAAAGGTCTTCCCTTTACTCTAAGGGTATGCCCTCGGGTCCTAGACTCTCCTACCAATGGAAGCATCTTCCGAACATCCATTTTGTCCAGGCCGTTCAATATTCTGAAAGTTTCAGTTAGATTCCCCCTCATCCTTCTACACTCCAATCATTCAATCATATGGTTTCCATTTTAAAAAAAACACTCTGACCTCAAGAGTTCATTGCAATATCAAATCAAATCATATCATAAAATCACATTTTAAAATTTGGGGGATGGGGGGATTGGTTGACATCATTTCTTATCAGAGAATTATACTAGTTATGCTCAAATTCCTTTTGGTTTATAATGATGTCTTCATTCATAGCCGGAGAGAAGTTTGTTGTAATAATAATGAAACTCTACTAGATGCTTAGAAAAATAATTGCAAAATGTAGTTAAACCTATTAAAGGTAATTTTGATGCTCTTTAAAATATCAGTTATATAACACTATGCACAGCTATTTGTCACAACTTTGTTGCAGAATTTGTTCTGAGTTAAAAACATCACAGGTTTTGGAGTAGATTTGTAGCTCGGGTTGTGGGTGTTGAGGTTGGTTGGCTCGCTGAGCTGGTTTGTTGTTCCACAGGCATTTCGTTACCATGCTTGGTAACATCCTCAGTGCAGCCTCTGATGAAGCATCGGTGTGTTTTCCCACCTGGCTTTTAAACTCTGGGGTCCGTTGCGATGGATTGCCTCACTTCCGGGTTTCCTCCGTAGTGGAATGTATATGGGGTCGAGTTCAATGTGTTTATTAATAGCCTGCTTCGTGGAGTGCCATGCTTCCAGGAATTCTC